GATAAATATCCACTATATGAGTGACCCACAGAGAATCGAGCCCGGTAACTTCTGCGTCGCATTACCACTGCGCCATATCAGCAGACAGCATCTCTTTTTAGTTTGGACATTATCCGTTGAATAGGTCAGTTCCGCAGTGTATCAACCGTACGGCTGATAAAAGATTTTTCTAGGTCGTCGGAAGCAAGTTTCCTTTCCAGAACCTTCCAACCCCATCGAACACCGATTCTAGTCCCTATAACGAGCTCTGACGTAGTTTTTATGAAAATTAGTTTGTAAATTATCATAAGTAGAAGCGAGTCAAGGAGCACTATCTTTCTCTTCCGAATTAACCCGTATTATATTTATTATATATATTATATGTTATTTTATGTATTTATTTATTTACTGTTATTTAGGACTTTAGGTAGGTTATTATGCGTATATATATTTATTAGATTTATTCCGTATCTGTGTATCGTATTATACCAATATTATTCATAGATATTGTGCACGTCTCATCCGCCTTTCGCCAAATGCCATTTCTCTCCGTTAGGTCTGCTGTAAGAAATTTCTTTTTTAGAGATAAGCAGTGCCTGTTGTGTCTTTTTTCTTTATGTTTTGTTCTGTTATGTTTCTTGTGTACAATAAATGGTTAAATAAGTAGTCGTTTTCCTAAACAAATGCAAACTCAGGACCCTGGCATACAGAACTCATGGTTTAACTACCAGACAGTGGATGCAGTTAGGTTTAGCGCCGACTGCATTTATCGATATTTGGCAGTTGGGAACTTGACTGCGGGAACGGACTGCGGATGTGCTGTTGCAGTTTAATAGTTTCATATTGAGTTGGTTTCGTTTATGTCCTTACCTAAAAGCATTGTTCTTTGTTCTTAGAAATGTACGTACTGTCTTGTTGAAAGCAGTAGAGAATAATATAGCGCGAAATATACTCATTGATACACATTGAATTTGCGATCTTTGCTTAATAGTATTCTGTAAAACTCTGACACTGGGGTTCATCACGATTTGGACGACTCGATGTCCAACGGGCCGGAACGGGACGGAAGATGAGTTGCTCGAAGTCCAATACGAAGGGAGAGAGAATGGTACTCTAATAAAGACCTACATATAAAAACATTTCTCTACAACTGGCAATCGGAAGCTCAAGAGCGGTATAAGTGGCGCGATAGATAACATATCTTCTTAAGATAAAGATAAAGGGTAGGCATAGGGTAGGCCTTTTCCCCGCAGTGGGACACTGAACAGGCAACGCATAAAAAGTACTTACAAGAAAATATTTAAAAACTTCACATGCGCAGGATTCAAACAACAACGCTCCTATTATTATCTGACAGCTACCGTATCGATCAGAAATTAGTTTACAACTACATTATCTTCAACATTAACACACTACAATGGTGAAACCTGTCGCAAACTACTATGTCCACTAGTTTCCACGCTCAGACGCCTCAGCCTGGCTGTTTGCCAACTGAGGAAAGAAGATCATTCGGTACCTATTATCAAGATGCTCATACCTATGTCATATTGACCATTGGTTACTTTAGTTTTTCCCACTTTAAACACTGCAATGGCACACTACATCATGACCAGTCCCAAATAGTCAAGCAGTAACTATATCTCAACTGTTTCCACGCTCAGACGCCTGCGGGCTGGCTGATTGCCAATTGAGGAAAGGCAGATAATTCTAACAGCGATCGTATGACGAGATATGAGTGGTAAGAGGTACTCATGTTTTATACAGATAAAAATAAGATAAAGATACTGAGAAAAAGGAGATCATACATCAGTACCTACCTCTAAGATGCTCATCTTTCATTTGGGCATCGGTTTCTATGGTTTCTCTTACACTAAACATGAAATGACAATATACTACAATGGTCATGACTACCCCTACAATATATAAGTTACTCTGTGGTCATGACCAGTCCCAAATAGTCAAGCGTGTAAGTAACTATATCTCAACTGGTTTTCACGCTCAGATGCCTCAGCCTGGCTGGTTGCCAACTGAGGAAAGGAGATCATACTTCGGTACCTTTTATCAAGATGCTCATACTTTATGGTGTTAGAGTGATACGATTGTCGGTTCAGTGAGATTTTGCGTTTTCTTTGTGATTTTGAAGAACTATTTGGTTACAGTACCTAAGTATAAAAAAAGTAAGTTTTAGCACATCTAGACACACGGCAGTGTGTCCGCCAAGTTCGAGCAAAAAAAGCGACACACCGGCCGTGGGTTATATTACACGAACCATTTCGGGCCAAGTTCGACCCACCTATAACTCAAAATCTATTTTATCTACGCATATGAAATTTCTAGTATCTGTCGAGATCTACTTACTTATCTAAAATACAAAATTTCATTAATGTACCTATTGTAGGTCTTGAGATATTGACGTCAGAAAATCGCTATTTTTACTATACACTCACTGACTGACTGACTGACTGACTGACTGACTGACTCACTCATCAAAAACCTAGACCACTTCCAATGGTCGTATTGACTTGAAATTTGGCATGGAGGTAGGTCTTTAGGTCAAGGTAAAGGAAAAAATCTGAAAATGGCCAAGTATGAGTCGGTTTTAAAAATAATGAAGGTGTAAATTCATACCTCTAAGGAACTAAAACAAAAAAATTATCTATATCTTCCAATCGTCGTACCGACCTAAAATTCGTTACGAAGGTTTGTATTTAGTCAAAGTAAAGTATAAATGAGATATTTCCTTACCTAACTTAATCATAAGAAAAAAAGAAAATAAACCTTACAAAATTCAAACTGCGGAAAATCAAGTGTGCATTCCTGTAACTATTTTTAACTGAGGTCTGTGTATGGAACTTGGTACTTATTTAGATCTCACTTCTTTTATAGGCGAAGCATTCCAATATTATCGAACTTGGCAGCCTTTCACATTTATGTTTTGGGTGGGATTAGATATTAGCTATCCAGTTGAGCATACTGAAGGCTATTTACCGGTGGCTTTAGAACTTATTTATTAGGTCAGGCATGGAAGTAGCCATTTAAAACTGACCCAATAAAAAAAACTATTCCGGTAACCGTACGATGATGAATGAAACCAAAAATTAAGCTATTTATTTTCGTACACGAAAACATGAGAGTCTATAATTAAAAATGACTTAGCTGATGTATAGCAACGATATTGAATTTATTACCAACCGTGTTTAGTAAGAAACACGAAAACTAACACTGACTTAAACCAACTAACATCTGGATTACGGTAAATAGGCCAAGAGCTTGCGGCGTTGTATTATGTTCTTTAATAAGTAAGTTATGATACAGTGATGTTAACGTTAGAAACTAATTATTATTTTATACTTTATGTATTTCTTTACTTTATATACCGGGAGTAACAGAAAGGGTATAACTAGCCGAAAAGAGGTGAAGGTACTCATGAAACTGAACAACTTTCACCATGGAACATGGGTCGAAATACTAAAAAAAAATTGTACCTCCCCAGTAAATCAGTCAGCTTAGTGGAAAGTTGTTAAGTTTAATGAGTACCTTCACCTCCTGTCGGCTTGTTATACCCTTTCTATTACAGCCTGTATAATTTGTAGGAATTGGAGATAAGTTTTGGTACACGATGGGGAACAATGAAGCCCTTAAAAAATAAAAAGAATGATAACAAAACTTTTTGTTAAATTGCTCTTCTTAGCTTTTTGCATTTCGATGCAGTCGCCCCAAAAATTCGGTCTATGGTAGAGCCTTGAGAGGTCTATATCCAGCAATCGACTTAATCTTCGACGCAAGGGTTTTTATCTTCTCTCCTTGTCTGATTCCATGATCCATTCTCGTCGGAAGTCTAAGGTGTCATTTCTATTTTTTGGAAAATTGCTTAATTTTCACCGCAGGCCTGCAACCTTCGGCATCAGTACTGCCGACGCCCTAACCAACTAGGCTACCGCGGTTCTAATCGAGCCCGCGAAATTATGCAAGTATATCTTGTCCACTATCGCGTGGATGGGCTCCATCTACCGGAATAGTTTTGCAACTAATTCCTAGCGACTAATTTATTCTTTACAGATTGAATATAGTCAAAGCGATGAAAACCCGCGATAAATTGAATACCAAATTTTAAAACACTTCTCGTGTTAGGTAAACAATTTGATGTAGATGGAGCCCATCCACGCGATAGTGGACAAGATATACTTGCATAATTTCGCGGGCTCGATTAGAACCGCGGTAGCCTAGTTGGTTAGGGCGTCGGCAGTACTGATGCCGAAGGTCGCAGGTTCAAATCCTGCCTGCGGTGAAAATTTTGCAAGTTTTCCAAAAATTGTTTACCTAACACGAGAAGTGTTTTAAAATTTTGTATTCAGTGTCATTTCTATCAAACGGCCTCACTAAGCAAAATACACAAAAAAATATACAGCAGGCTCCTGTACTAAAATAAAGAGGCGTGCACACGGGCCATGACAAATGGTACAGGGTGCTTCGATATAATTCGTTTTTAACCGTCGCACGTCAGCGAGCGCGCTGTATAAAGCTATATCAATGGCCACCCATTTACAGGGTGCTTCTTTCTTTTTTTGGAAAACTTGCAAAAATTTTCACTGCTGGCGGGATTTGAACCAGCGACCATCGCCATTACTACACCTCCACCATCTGGGCTATAGCGGCTCACTCCAAGCCCGCAAATTTTGCAAGTGTATCTTGACCATTAACGCGTGGTAGGGCCATCAACTGGGATAGTTTATGAAACAAATGCTTTTTTCTTCTTTTTCGTGGGGGACACCCAGTCAACCAACGATCTGATGAACCCTGTCGTCAAAGTTTATCAACCACCGACTACAAGTAGCAGGCCTCTGACATGGTTGTGTAACTACCTCCATCTAAGTGATCATAGACAGCAACCGGGACCGACGGGGTAAAGCGCCCTCCGAAGCAGGGAACCATCTTTCTTTTCGGACACTCAGGTGACTCGGCCCGAAATGTCCTTACCAGACTGGGAACGAAACAAAGTAATAAAATATTAACTCTGTGAGTGACCCACCGAGAATCGAACTTGGAACCTTCTGCATCTCAGGCAGTCGCACTACCACTGTGCCACATCGGCCGCCGTAAATACAGGATGTAAATGTATAATGAAGAAGATATGATATACTTTTTATATCTTCTTAGATAGTTCGTTTCAGTGCGCTTTGAAGAGAGGTTCTTTTGAATTTGTAGCGCAAAAAATGCTATTGAGTTGAGAGACATTATTTTTTTTTGTTTGAGTGCTATGTTTTTCCTAAATGAAAAGATTATGGATACATAAATATCCAGTAGTGGCTGTGATGTATAATTGTATGAGTAATCGCTATCTCATTTTAATATGCAATATCTATTCAATATACGTTAGTCTTAGCACAACCTTTCGTCGTTTCACTTGTCTCTCCCGCTACTAACCTTACATGGCGACCACTGCCGTGTTTGGCTAGCAGCGGCCAGAGCGCGCGTGCCGCGTGATTCATTCAATTTGCCGTGTTAGTCAAATCGAACTTTGAACTGATGCAATCGATAATGTGAATTTCTGTGAAATGGTGCTGAACTGAAACGTGTTCTACTATGGTGTTTTTGTGAATCCATGAGCTTCAGAATTTTCAAGATGGGAAACTACGGCTCGACGACTGAAATGCCAACTGAAAAGACTCCGTTAATAGACCACCACGACATTTACACGCAAATAGGACAGAAGAACCAGATAACCCAAACCAATGCCGTCGCTGAGGGTATAGAGAGGATCAACAACTACTTGTTTTTGTTTGTAGCAGTTTTCACGTTTTTGGTTGTCTTTGCGATGATAAGGTACATCAACGCCTGCTTGAATAAGAGGATCGTGCGTGCCCACGAGTTACATCAGTTTAGGTCGGGAGCCCAGGCAGCCCTTGACACCGCAGTTTGATGGGAGCATCCCAGGACCGGAGCGACGCAAGTGTACGTAAAACTGGAAAGTGATATGAGTGAGGTTCTCTAAAAATGTGAGTACTTTTGCGTAATCAATAATCCATTTCAGTGTGCGTTTCGTTCCGCGAGTGTTAATCGTAATCGGCACCGTAATATGACTCGGTTTTCTACATACAGCGTTGCTATGCTAGTTGCTAAGTACTTAAATGAGTAGGTACACAAGGCATCAGCCTTACTTAGATACATAGAAATAATGAATAATTAATCTAATAGTAGTTGGATATAATTATATTTAAACCCTAGCTATGTAGTAGGTTGGGTTATATTATGCAGATTATATAAATAAAATATACCTTGCCCAGCAGTTGGATAATTTAGGATAGTAATTAATTAAATTGACTACATATGGATGAAGTAATACAAGAATTGTATGCCAATTTGAAAGACGTTAAGAGGTCAATTACTCGATTAGAAATTAGGAAAAGGGTACCAGAAGTTCTCCGAGTAAAATTACGTGAGGCTAATATTATTTTCGAGAAGTACGAAGAATTTAAAGGAATTTATAGCAAATCTAAGGATTTAGATGAGGACGTAAAAATAAATATTGAGGAAACATTCGTGAAGTTTTTACAAATATATCAGGATATAGTTGATTTATGTACTGAACCGTCAACCATGGCTACCGAAGTATTTGAGCTAAAAATTGCTATGAGTTTGTTACCGGTCATGACCGATGTAGAATCTAATACCAAGGAATTAATCAACGGAATCGAATATTATGACTCAATTTTAGAAAAGCCCGAGTGTAAAACGAAATTAATAAATTTTGTATTGAAAAGTCGACTCTCGCCTTCTGCAAAACTGCGACTAAGTGCAACTTACGCCACAGTTGCGAGTTTACTTAAAGACATGAGGGCTCAGCTGTTATCTAAAAAGGCTTCTACTTCTATTCAAACAAAGTTATTACAAACTCGTCAAAACGATAGGTCTATATCTGATTATGGAAAAGAGATCTCTGAACTCATGGTTGATTTGACGATCTCGCAAGCCAACGGTGATGCCGCCAGTTACACGGTTTTGAAGCCGTTAAATGAAAAAATGGCCATAAAAAGATTTGCCGATGGTCTGCGAAACCGTCGCTTAAGCACGATAATTGCAGCTAGAAACTACAGTTCCCTGAAAGATGCAGTGCAGGCAGCACAAGACGAAGAAGTTGCATCCACAAGCACTTCAGGTGAGCTTTTAACTATGAATAAACCAAACTTCAGGTTTCAGAGAGGTGGACAAAGGTACCACAGCCGCGGACCTCCAAGAGGTCATTCGCGAGGCCATCGTGGTGTTTGGCATAACACCTCATACCACCACCAACCCCGTGCGGAGCAGAGCTGGCCGAGGGGCGCTGGCGCTGGTTCGAGCTCCCACAGAGGTACTCATCGGGGTCGCGGTCGAGCTTCAGGTAAGTCAAATAACTATTTTAGAAACAGGTGGGATCGCAATCAACATAACGTTAACGTCATGACTCAGAATTCGAGCAATGCACGAGTACCACAAGTACCACACAACAATATCGAGTCCAATGGTAACTTGTTTTTTCGAGACTAATCGCAATCACATGAATCATTATCACTCCATCTTTACATGCAACAATTCACGCGTTGTAGATCTTATTTCACATGATTGTTTAGACTCTTGGCTCATTGACTCCGGGGCAACGATCTCTGCGTTGAAATACGAATATGCATTAAAGATAAACATTCCAATTAATAGAGAGCAGATTTCCATCAATGGACTTGGAGGTAGAGTTAATGCAATTGGATCTGTGTGGTTGCAATTAGAAACACAAAATGAATTATTAGAACACAAATTCTTTGTATTTGAATCATTACCTTGTCAAACGGTAGGTATTTTAGGCGATGATTTTTTTGAAAAATATCGAGCGAATATAAGTTATAGAAACAACACTTTATCGTTGATAACAAAAAGTAATAGAGAGCTGATAATTCCATTGAAGGATAATGTACAGTCCGACACAGTACAGTCCGAGACATGTTTTATTTTACCACCCCGCTCTGAGTCTATTCATTTCATTACAACATCTGAGACTGATGATTGCGTGGTATGTTCGGAAGAATTATGTAAGGGTATTTTCCTTGCTAGTGCTATTGTGAAACTGGTAAATGGAAAATTTCCAGTACAAATTTTAAATACGACGGAAAATGAAGTGAGGTTAGACAAAATCGAACCAAAGCTACATCATGGGAGAGACTATGATATTTGTTCTTTCGATAAGAATAATAACGACTCCAATCGAGTAAAGAAATTATTTTCAATGTTAAATTTAGATCATTTGAATAACGAAGAAAGACTTTCAGTTGAACAACTTTGTGCTAAATATGCGGATATTTTCCAATTACCAGAAGACAAATTAACCACCACAAATTTATTTAAACAGTCTATCCATTTAAAACCTAATGTGGATCCTGTGTTTATTAAATCTTACAGATTACCACATTCCCAGAAACAAGAAGTAGAAAAGCAAATAAATAAAATGTTAGAAGATGGTATTATCGAACCGACTAAAAGCGAATGGTCTAGTCCAATCCTTTTGGTTCCAAAAAAGACAGATTCCAGTGGAGAGAAAAAATGGCGTCTCGTAATCGATTACAGGAAACTGAACGATCGAATACAAGACGACAAGTTTCCTCTTCCAAATATCACCGAAATTCTAGATTCTCTTTCTGGTGCAATTTATTTCACACATTTAGATCTTTTTTCTGGGTTTTATCAACAGGAACTACATGAGGATAGTAGGAAGTACACAGCTTTTTTGTTCGGGACAGTATCAAATGACGCGACTGCCCATGGGGTTAAAAATAAGTCCAAATGCGTTTTCCCGAATGATAACTGTCGCTATGTCGGGTCTTTCATATGACAAGTGTTTCGTTTACCTAGACGATTTAATAGTATTTGGTCGAAATATTCAGGATAGTACAAAAAATCTTTCTGACGTTTTTAGTCGTCTTCGGCAAGTAAATTTAAAGCTTAATCCGCTAAAATGCGATTTCATGAAAAGGAAATTTTATACCTAGGACACGTAGTGTCTGGTGAGGCATTAAACCAGACCCAGAGAAAATAATTGCAGTTAAAAATTACCCAGTTCCAAAAACAGTAGATGAAGTTAAGAGATTTGTTGCTTTAGCAAATTATTACAGGAAGTTTATCCCTAACTTCGCCAAAATTGCACACCCTTTAAATAAACTATGCAGAAAGAATGTTGAATTCATCTGGGATAAATCATGTCAAGACTCATATGAATCATTAAAACTGTCGCTTATAAGCCCTCCACTTTTACAATATCCTGACTTTAGTCCAGATAATGAATTTTGCTTACAATCTGACGCTTCCGGTTTTCTATAGGATGTATTTTGTCAAATAAAGATGGACGCCCTGTTGCATACGCCAGTAGAGGTTTAAATAAGGCAGAATGCAATTATGCAACTATAGAAAAGAGTTACTAGCGGTAGTGTGGGGAATCAAACATTTCAGACCGTACCTTTATGGCCGGCATTTCCGGATTAAAACGGACCACAAACCTCTTGTCTACTTGTTTAATATGAAAGATCCCTCAAGCAGATTATTTAAATTTCGTATAGCGTTAGAGGAATATGACTTCACAGTCGAGTATGTGAAAGGAGCGGACAACGCAGCTGCAGATGCATTGTCTCGCATTAGGATAACATCTAAGGAATTGAAAGAGATGAATGACCGTGTTGTAAATGTGATGACTAGAGCTCAATATCGTAAGCTCAATCAACAAATAACTAATTCTTCAGATTGTTTGAGTGATATTGTCACCACTGATAATTGGCCTGATCAACCGAAAATCGTGGAGACACATATAAAACCCAAGCAGTCAGTAGAATTATGTTTTATTGATAGTAAAGAGTATGAGAAAATTAGACGAAACGAAGTTATCACAAAAGAAAGTCATAGTATGATATATGTTTCAAGTAAAATGACGATATACATAAAGCCATTTTCCCCATCGCAAATGACGCGAGCCGCGTTTGTGAGGGAATTCGAAGGTTTATGTAAGACTTGCCATATTGAGGAAGTCTATATTTTGAAAAATAATAATAATGTCATTTTTATAGAAAAGTTAACAAAGGAA